GCCTGGAGAATTCCTTGGACATAGAAGCCTAACAGGCTACAGTCCATGGGGTTGCAAAGAGTTGAATATAACTCAGCAATTGGCTTCCCAGGTTGTGCTGGGGGAAAGAACCCATCTGCTAACATAGGAGACTGGCAGGTTACAGTCCATAGGGTCACAGAATCAGACACAACTGAAGTGACTTCGCACACAGGCACACTCACACTGTGTCCTATCACAGAGGTCCCCTACTCTTCTCTGTTAGTTTTTACAGCCCAGCTCTACTCATTCATAAAGGCCATTTAGACACCAGAGTTTGGTCATCAGGTTATCAAATCTTTGAAATTACATTTTCCCCTTTACTTCAGTTGAAACCCTAAATGAACCACAGTAAGCTTCTATATTCTGTATGCCCATTTCTATGGAGAACATATCATGCTGCTGCTGCTAAGTCGCTTCAGTCGTGTCCGACTCTGCGCGACCCCATAGACGGCAGCCCACCAGGCTCCCCCATCCCTGGGATTCTCCAGGCAAGAATATTGGAGTGGGTTGCCATTTCCTTCTCCAATGCATGAAAGTGAAAAGTGAAAGTGAAGTCGCTCAGTCATGTCCAACTCTTCGAGACCCCATGGACTGTAGCCTACCAGGATACTCCAACCATGGGATTTTCCACGCAAGAGTACTGGAGTGGGTTGCCATTTCCTCCTCTAGGTGACCTCATATACCTACAAGGGACTGTGATTGCAGTATTATTGATGGTAATGAAAACTTTTTCTCTGCATATGTATGTTAAAAGTAAGGCCATGCTCTAGGAATATTATTCAACATCATGGCAAATAACAAAGACCCCTGGCCTATTAGTCTACATCTTGATACAGTATCCAAAGTTTATCAGCCTTGTCTCAAAATAACAGCAGCCTCAGCTAAACTGATTGAAGTGTTATCACTTCTTGCTTTAAAATCTCCATTAAATCTGATAGTACCACATGCAGTACAAACAGCTCTGCTCTCTGAGTTATACACTATAACTCTCTGAAAGCACCCAACATTTTCATGTCAGTTGGCTGAATAAATATGAAATAGTACTCATTTCTCCTCCCATTATTCAACTGGAATCTATTTCTCAATGAAAGGACTCTTATGATTGCACTTCTGCCATTTAAGAAGTGTCTGTGTCCAGAACAGATCTTTCAGACATTCTTATAGAAAATTCTTCATAATAAGTATTTAATCTTAAAAATTGAAAGAGACAATACCAGGCTATTTATGCAATAATTACTCCAGACCTCTTTATAAAACTCAATCCTTAGGGGAAGTATAATTAATTCAAGTAGCTGAACTTGTGCATCTCCTTGGGCAAGTCAATTTACAAAAGAAAAAAAATTATATTCAGTGTTGGTCAGTAGGTTTTGAATGCAGTTCATAGCTTCCAAATACAATGGAGACAATGAGATTTCCTAAATCTCTGACTTTTCTTAGTCTTGGCATATGTCTTATGTACTCCAATTAAAATGAACACTAAATACATGAATTATTTGATGTCATCATGCTACTCAAAGAAATTTTGTTATAAAGACAAAGTCTGTCAGCATGAAAGATTCTGCAAAGTATGGGGAAAAAAATGATCGAGCAGATTATCACATTAAACATAACTTTATGAGTAAAGTCCTTATGGAAATGCTCAAAAATTTCATCTTAGGTTCAGAATGCCAGACCCTGATTTTGTAAGGAATGACTAGGAATGATTGATTTGTTTGATCCATGAGGACAAAATATATCAAAGCTAAGACAGCTGTCTGCTGAAGCCAAATGATCTCCATAGAACTCTTATTCAAATCCTTGTGACATGGCATTGGAGAAATATTGGCTGCAACATTAAAAAAAAACATTGTGGGAAAACTTTTCTAGATTGGTAGATACTGGGGTCAGCTCATGCATTTCTTGGAACCCACAAAATCCCATATAATTTGTAAAAGTCGATTATGAATTAGAATACTATACCAAGGGAATATTTTGGTATTTCCAAAAGAAATTTAAACAATTTCACATCTCCATACCTTATGAGTATGTACTAGCAACAGCATTTTTATTCTTCACATGGGTTGAAGAAATCTTTTGATAAACCACAGCACTCACCATAATTAAAAATGAATTTGATGCGGTGTTTACTACCTGTGTCATTTCTAATTGTGTCTATATAAGGAAGCAAGTTTCTCTGAGATAGTTATATAAAGTTTTGCCCTCACTCAGAAATTTTACTACTCTTATTGTCTCTCTATCTTCTGAAGAAGTGGAAAGAACAAATGGAATACTAGAACTGAAATGAATTACAGTATCAGACACCCTTGATCTACTGTGGCCTAATACATTATTAATTAGTCTTGGCCTCCATGGCTCTGCTTTCTTCTCCCACAGAGTCACACATTGTCTCACTACCAGCTGGTCCCTGATATGCCCAGGTAATTCACAAGGGCCCAAATCACACATATTCCAATATTTCACCAACTGAACTAAATAAATAAACCCATTATAATCAGTCTTTTCATCACAGGCACAGGTTGATTTCTTAGACTTTCATTTAATCAGTTTTTTCATGACAACCTGGGTGACTGAGTGCTGGCAAAATACCCAGAGAAAAACTGCCATTGAACTTGTGGAAATGACTTTAATATGTTCCATTTGTTATCATTTCAGCAGGTACAGTACAAGAAGTTGATCCTTTATCGAATGTGTACCAACTACTATAACATCATGCATCCCTAACTGACAAGAATTATAAAGTTACTTACATTAGAGGTATTAAACCAAGATTCTCCTGAGAATGATCAGAAGCAGATAGTCCATAGAAGATGGGTTGACCCACGATCCTTGAAACAAATATACAACTGCCTAAAGTGGATATCTCCATCCAAGACCACTAGAGAATTCTGTAGGATGTCTGGAACCACTGTTTGTCACACTACCCTTTGCATATTTCTATTTTTCATCTTTTTAGTGGTACTTGCCCACTTTAACACTAGTGTGTTATATATTTATGATTTCCCTTACTTTATGATTTTCTCCTACCAATAAAATAACTTACTAACATATTGGCTTCACTTGAAGCAGTAACCATCTTAATGCTATAATTTGGTTCAACAAGCCCATTGATTGTGCAACAATGTTAAAGAATTGTTGGAGATGTTATTTAGTGTCAACTCCTGTATACACCAAATAATAAACATACCCCAATTAGTACTGCTAAAGTGAAATTTGACCAATAAAATTTGTCTTAAAAATATTAGAAAAATTCATAATGGAGTTGGTACAGTTAGCTTTGCATGAAGAATATGTCTTAACTTGATTATGAGTTGGTCCAACACTCCAGTGAACCTGCTCATTATCAGTTGCCATAATGTTTCTTTTGTAGAAATACAAATAAAATTTCTAAAGGAATTCAGACACTTGAAATGATGAGTTATTTGTGTAAAATAACTTAAAAGTTCAAAACATCTGGGTTAAAAATTAGTGAGAGTGGTGGCAGGGAAAGTGATCATACACATACCTAGTACCATGTGCTCCACCTGACAAAGACGCAGACTACTCAAAAGGTTTTTTATTTTATGACTTTATTCATATGGGGCTTCCCTCATGGCTCAGTTGGTAAAGAATCCTCCTGCAATTCAGGAGACCTCAGTTCAATTCCTGGGCTGAGAAGATCCACTGGAGAAGGGATAGGCTGCCCACTCCAGTATTCTTGGCTTCCCTTGTGGCTCAGCTAGTAAAGAATCTGCCTGCAATGTGGGAGACCAGGGTTAAATCCCTGGATTGGAAAGATCCCCTGGAAAAGGGAAAGTCTACCCACTCCAGTATTCTGGCCTGGAGAGTCGGACACAACTGAGCAACTTTCACTTATTCATATAAAATTCCTGAAAAGATAAAAATATAAAATCAAGGTTTGCGTGGAGTTAATATAGGTCAGAGTGTGATTACAAAATTATACCACAAGGGAATTTGATTAAAAGACACAACTCTCCCTTCTAACTTACATGAGAGTAAACATGAACACTAATAACATTTTGCAAAGAAGAATAGATTTGTGAGCCTAATCCTCAAATTATATTCTTGAATAAATCACTTTCTATTTTGATTTCCCTCAAACATACAAAATATATATGATCCATCACTGGGCTCTAAAGAAAACCCAAGTCACATTTTCAACAAGAAAGTAGTCAGAATATATAGAAAGGACAGTCCAATTTTGCCAGAAATATAGAAAGAAAATTTTAAATATAATTGTGAGAAAAATCTCTCATGAAGCCATTAAAAAGTTGTTGTTAGAGATGAAGATAATGAAACTGAAAATTCTCATTTCAAGATATAATATTAAGTGAAAAAAATCAGAATTCTAATCATACTAGAACTTAAGGAGAGAGTAAATCAAATATTAGCAATAAATTATCTGGATGCAGAATTATAAATTTTGCATTTTTGTATTAGACACATTTTCTACATTTAGAATATAATTTTTACAATAAGTGAAAAATAACATATATAATTTTTGTAACACAAGCACTAAGAACCCATCCATAATAGGAATGTAGTATTGTTCCCAAGCATTCATTTATAGAGGAGGAGTCTGATAGCAAACATAAAGTCATTTTTAAAGCCTAAATTTTAAAATAAAACCTAACTCCCTTCAAGAATTCAGTAAGCAATAGTCATCCAACAGAATGTGTTTTAACACTTTCTGCATCATATGAAACCTAATCTTCTTCTTCTATGTTTTTCATGTCTGATACATTGGTTCCCACTTGTAGACAAACACTATGACAAATGCTATAACTTGAAGGTTGTGCCAAAGGAAGGGGGCTGCCCCAGTCACAGGTTTGAGTACAGGTAGCAGATGCCTGGGAAGCACTGTGTCCTTGCTGCACAGAAGTAGACAGCTGAGTCTCCAGCTTCAGTGGTGGTGATGTGCAGGGACAGATGTTTGGCCGTCTTATTCAATAAAACAGTCAGTCTCTGGCCTTCATTTTTACCCATATTTGAACGAATGTCTATAAGGAGCTGGGGACCTCTTCCAGGTTCTTGCTTATACCAAGGGAAGTAGCTTGAGGTAACATCTGTATAAGTACAGGTGATAAAACAGCTGTTTCCCTCCTGGACACTCAGGGTAGAAGGACTCTGCTCCACCTCTTTTCCAAGGCTGACACCTATGGCGAAAGGAAAAGTCAGAGAAAGGAGAAGGGTTGTCAGATTTTACTTTTCCTTTTCTACAATAACTAGAAGAAACCTGAATGAAGTCAGTCTTGGCATCTAAAAAATATCTATGAATACACTCTATTTCCTTTAAACCCTAAACTCACAGTCCAGCTGCAGCCACAAGAATGTGATTAAAGCTCCAATGGGTGTCTTCATTGTTTTCCCCATTTAGGATCAATTATGGATCTGCAGTCTCCAGCCAGAAGAGTTGCTTCTATTACCAAGTGCCCCCTTCTTTCCTAGCAGTCATAGTGGTTTCTCACATTGTCTACTCAGCCAATAAGAAAAAGGCACTGCTTCTGCTCTAAGCCTATTCATTCAGAACCCACTCAAATGAACCTGCCACATGTTCTGATCAGCAGAGGTGCACCACCATCTGGTGGTCACATCTCTAACTACTGAACTCTCTGGTTAAACGTTCTTCTCATACCCTGTGCTTATGAGGGACTCGGATGCATAAAAAGAGCATGAGATTAAACAAATTAGGTGTATATCAGAGAGTAAATGCACAGTAAGAATGTAGACATTAAGATTTAAATCTCTGCACAGGATTGAGTCACTGTTAATAAGTCGGAAGAAGGTAAATGCTGTTGCCATTTATTCAGGTTTGAAATCAGGAAAGCACCATGATTTACTCTTAAACAAAGAAAATGTAAAATCTTCCTTTTCAGGCAAATCTATCATCTCTATTTTTCTGTAATGGAGAAAGAAATCTTTGTGAAAGGAACATGAAAATCAAAGAGCAGAGAAGATCACTTGATATTTCAAAGATCTACTAACTCAATCTCTGCTCCTCTAAGCTAGTCTCAACCATGACCTTGCTATTCCCAGAGAATCAGCAGTACCATCAGATTGTGTTGATTTACAATGAGAAATCAGGCATTCTTTAAGAAATCTATTTCTATTGCTTATGTGGATTCTATTCTGCAAAGTATTGAGAGAAAGTAAAAATCCTCATAAAACGTCAGGCTGCAGATTCAGAAAATAACCATATGTGAATTTATACTACAGATGTTTTTACTCTCTGATATCAAAAGGTATGAAAGTGAAAGTTGCTCAGTCGTGTCCAACTCTTGCAACCCCATGGACTATACAGTCCATAGAATTCTCCAGGCCAGAATACTGGAGTGGGTTGCCATTCCCTCATCTAGGGAATCTTCTCAACCCAGGGATCGAACCCAGGTCTCCTGCATTGCTGGAAGATTCTTTACCATCTGAGCCACCAGGAAAGAACAGATACCGGTGTATATATAACTGAGTCACTTTGCAGTACAACTGAAACTATCACAACATGGTTAATCAACTAAAATACAAAACAAAAAGTTGAAAAAAAACAAGAGGCAGAGCTCAATTATTTCATCTTCATCAAAAATATATTAACTTTGTTAAATTATCACTTAAAGTCTGTTGAGGTTTACTTGAACATCTGTTAGGACATGGTTTTCATTCCTTCTTTATTTATTTATTTATTTTTTGTACCAGGACTTAGCCTTCACTTTTGGCCCACGATTTTTATTCTGGTGACTCAATTGAGCAAGGCATTTTTACCAAAATTCTTCACTCTAGAAAAGCCAGAGCTCCTATGTCTTCCCACCACAGCAAAGTCTCTAAAATCTCCTTGGAGTTTTTAGACCCTCAGAAGCTGTTTTGTGCTAGCTTTCCCTGTCTCTCTCTCTCTCTCTCTGTGCATGTGTAGCTCTTGTGTAGGTTCAAAAAACTCCCTCGACAGATTTTAAGGTCGTTTTTATGAAGTTCACTTCTCTCCAACACCTTTCCCCTCAAATTCCAGTGATATCACCAGCCCTAATTCTGATCTCTGTTTCTTGCACACAGCAAGCTGCCACTCTGCAGGGCTCCAGGTCTTTGTGCTGAAGGTTAGAAAATCCCCTGGGAGATGTCTAGTGACTATGGGGGTCGTTCTGCAGGCTTTCTTTCTTCCACAAATGGCAAACTTTCACTGTCTGCACTCCTTGGAAACAGTTGCTTCATATGTTTTCCCAGTTTTGGAGTGGGTTACAGTTAGAAGATAATTCCATATAAGCTATACTGGAATAGCCAGAAATTCTTTTGTTCTCTTAAGATAGCACTTTTATTTTTTAAACATATTTCCTCTCTTTTGTTTTCTTTCTTCCGGTTTTATTGAGACAAAATTGACATACAGATCTGTGTAAGTTTACGCTGTCCAGCATAATGACATATTCATCAGGAAATGATTACCACAGAAGGTTTAGTGAACATCCATCATCTCATACAGATACAAAAGTAAATAAATAGAAAACAATGTTTTTCCTTGTGGTGAGAACTCTTGGCATTTACTCTCAACTCTTATGTAAAAATACAGCAGTGTTAATTATATTTATTATGTTGTGCATTACGTTCATAGTGCTTAGTTAGTTATCTTATAACTGACACTTTGTGCCTTTTGACTGCCTTCATCCAGTTCCATCTCCCCCTGCCTCCTGGCCCTGGTAACCACAAATCTGATCTTTTTTTCTATGAGCTGATTGTTTATTTGTGAGTATAATTAACCTACAATATTATATTAGTTCCTTTAAACAACGTAGTGATTCAGAATTTCAAAATACTCACCACAAAAAGTCTAGTCTCTGTCTTTCACCAGACTAAGATGTCACATAACCATTGACTGTGTTTCCTCCACTGTACAACTCACATCTGTGCCTCACTTATTTTACTGCTGGAAGTTTGTGCCTCTTAATCTGTCTCACCTCTTTTTTTCCTCCTCCTCGCTCCTTGTTTCACTTTGGCAATGCCTGTTTGTTCTCTTCATCCATGACTCTGTTTCTGTTTTCTTATCTTTGTTCATTTGTCCTGTTTTTTTTTAGATTTCACACATAAGTGAAATCATAAAGCATTTATCTTTCTGTCTTAGTTATTTCACTGTTTCTCCTGTTTTAAAAGCACCTGTCATTTTTTACTCAGTAGTCAAAATGTTTCATGCATATGTACTGTATTTATGATATCTCGCACAGCTTATTTCAGAATGTGCTCTGCATTTAAAAGGAATGGGGTCTCTAGAGCACTAACACTTCTTTCTCATCAGTAATGATTTCTGACTCTTTCCCTGGTCCTCAGTGCAGCTGTTCCTGCCTGTGCACCCCGAGTGTGGGTGAGCCTGGTCACTGCTGTTCCTCGATCCTTTACTGCATCACGTCACAGTATTAAGGCTGCTCACTCCAGGAACTGTTAGTGTTTATTTTAAGTCCCCCACAGCATGAAGTGTTTTATCACTTGCAAATTATATTTTGGTCTTAAGTTAGCCGTCATCTGTCTTGCTTCCCACATGTATATGGTTTTCCTCAAATTGGAGCACCTTTCTCCCACTCTATTTTGCCTTTAGCCTGATTAACTCCTCTTAAACTACTAGGCTTCCAACTGAGGCATCACACAATCCAGGAAGCTCTCTCTGACTGACATCTATTTGTCTCTATAATACCAAATTTCATCCTTTTTTACTTTATAAGAACTGTATGATAACAAAAATCTGTTTGCCACAGGGTGACATATTCAACAAAAAAATAACTCTTTATTTACTGAAACCTTCTTATCCAGTACCTGACAGATATTAAATGCATATTTGTTGAATGATTGAATATACAAACCCTGTGAATAATGGTGGGTTGAAAATATGTCCTTAACTGAGGATTCTTGAATGAGGTACAAAAATTGTGACTCATTTTCTCAAGATGAAATAGCATTCTCGTGACTGGAAATTAGCTTTTCTCCAATGGTCTTCCAAAACATAACAAAAAGGATAATGATACAAATGATATAAGTAAATACTATTGAATATGAACAAAATTATGCTCTGTAAGAAGTTGAAATAAAATTAAGTGAAGGGTTACAGAGCATGGCATTGTATTTCTTTGACACTTTAAGGTTTGACTTTCTATGATTTCCCTTCATGCATGAGAATAATATGGGTTATGAATAAACAGCATTCAGGCTGAATATACCCATTTTTTTCATTTATTTTTATTAGTTGGAGGCTAATTACTTTACATCATTGCAGTGGTTTTTGTCATACATTGAAATGAATTAGCCATGGATTTACATGTATTCCCCATCCCGATCCCCCCTCCCACCTCCCTCTCTACCCGATCCCTCTGGGTCTTCCCAGTGCACCAGGCCCGAGCACTTGTCTCATGCACCCAACCTGGGCTGGTGATCTGTTTCACCATAGATAATACACATGTTTCGATGCTGTTCTCTCGAAACATCCCACCCTCACCTTCTCCCACAGAGTCCAAAAGTCTATTCTGTACATCTGTGTCTCTTTTTCTGTTTTGCATATAGGGTTATCATTACCATCTTTCTAAATTCCATATATATGTGTTAGTATACTGTAATGGTCTTTATGTTTCTGACTTACTTCACTCTGTATAATGGGCTCCAGTTTCATCCATCTCATTAGAACTGATTCAAATGAATTCTTTTTAATGGCTGAGTAATATTCCATTGTGTATATGTACCACAGCTTCCTTATCCATTCATCTGCTGATGGGCATCTAGGTTGCTTCCATCTCCTGGCTATTATAAACAGTGTTGCGATGAACATTGGGGTGCATGTGTCTCTTTCAGATCTGGTTTCCTTGGTGTGTATGCCCAGAAGTGGTATTGCTAGGTCATATGGCAGTTCTATTTCCGGTTTTTTAAGAAATCTCCACACTGTTCTCCATAGTGGCTGTACTAGTTTGCATTCCCACCAGCAGTGTAAGGGGGTTCCCTTTTCTCCACAACCTCTCCAGCATTTATTGCCTGTAGACTTTTGGATAGCAGCCATCCTGACTGGCGTGTAATGGTACCTCATTGTGGTTTTGATTTGCAATTCTCTGATGAGTGATGTTGAGCATCTTTTCATGTGTTTGTTAGCCATCTGTATGTCTTCTGTGGAGAAATGTCTGTTTAGTTCTTTGGCCCATTTTTTGATTGGGTCATTTATTTTTCTGGAATTGAGGTGCAGGAGCTGCTTCTATATTTTTGAGGTTAATCCTTTGTCTGTTGCTTCGTTTGCTATTATTTTCTCCCAATCTGAGGGCTGTCTTTTCACCTTGCTTATAGTTTCCTTTGTTGTGCAAAAGCTTTTAAGTTTCATTAGGCCCCATTTGTTTATTTTTGCTTTTATTTCCAATATTCTG